AGATGATTATTTGATTATAATTCACACTGACCAACTTGATTTCAAAAGTTGAATGGTTCAGTGGAATGGGTTTGCAATTTAAAAGCTACAGTGTACTTTCTTTATCCCAAAATAACATGCCAGATATTAATTTTAACACACATCTCCCTAATAATAGGAATAATGAGTCATTTCCATTCTTTGCTTTTTCATTTTTATGAATAACTGGTGCAAAAATCTAGACTATACCACAATTGATATAGTTTTTAAAAGCTTTATTCTTTGTTCATTAAAGGCTTCACTTCACTTATATTTGAAAATGTTATCAAGAATTAAAAGTAAAAAGTTTAAAGTGCTAATATGTTGTACAACATGAATGAACCTCAAAACAATATGCAAAGAGAAGATGTCAGTCACAAGTGATCACATATTGTAGCATTCCATCTTTCTGTAGCATCAAGAAAAGGGAAATCTACAGGGACAGAATCTACAGTGGTTGCTGGAGGAATGGGGAATAATTATAAATTGGCTCAAAGTTTCTTCTGGGGTGATGGGAATGTTCTAAAGTAACACTGCAGTGATAGATACATGTCTCTGTGACTACATAAATTAAACTCAAAGTGGATGCTTAAAACAGGACAATGTGTTGGTATGTAAGTTATATGCCAATATACCTTTATAAACACAGATGTGAGAGTACAAATAATTTGATGTAATTAACACGAATTCTCAAAATACAGAAATTAAGAAGTTTACTTCATTAATGTATCAATACCACACATGTTCTTGTCCTATTTCTAAGGGAGATACATCATAGGAAGAAGACTTGGTCCTTGGTCTGAAAACTCATAATCCAGCTAAATAGACATATCAACAAACAGAAAAGTGTATCTTATGCATGGGCTATTTAAAGTGTTATTTGAAAATAGAGTAAAATGGAATTATTTTTAAAAATTTAAGTAAAATCTTATTTCTTTAATTGATATGTGAAACATAAAAATTGCACATACTAATGGGGGGTACCATGTGATGTTTTGATATCTGTGTAGGTTGTGTAAGGAATTATATTTTGAACAATGTAGGAGAAATTCTTCATTACTCTTCTCTAAGATTAATACCAGTCAGCTAATAAAATTTTCATCATTGCTTTGTTGCTAACTGCTGATTTCAAGCCTAGGCTCAAAGTTCTGCCAACATGTCTATTTGGAGGAAGGGGCATGTCTCATTTAACTTTTTTTTTTTTTGGTACTGGGGATTGAACTCAGGACCTTGCGCTTGCCAGGCAGGTGCTGTGCCGCTAAGCTACATCCCCGGCTCCTGTCTCATTTAACTTTTGATTCTCACCTCATGGTGCAGTTTTGGGTACACAGAACACACTCAAATAAAAATATTTTTCATATAAGTCAAGCTGAATTCACAATCTCTGGTGAATCAAACAGGTATGTTCAGAAGTCACAATAAAATAAAGCAGAAGTAAATACTTTAATAAAATTTTGTGACCTCATAAAGGAAAAAAAATTCTTCTAGATGTGGAATGGAGAAAGGATTGTAGAGGAAGTGATAATCCAACTGAGGATGAAGAGGATTAGAAGAGATGCCAAAAACAGAATCTTTTGGTGCCCTTGAGATCTAAATCTAGAAATGGAGAACTGAAATTCTTTATTTTATCTCAAATGTCAAAATGTTCAAGGAAAGTATATAGTAAATACTGAGATTAACATGAACTATACTCCAGGCTTAGTTGTTTTATAATTTAAACTGATTGGACTGTGGAAAGAATACAATATCCAGTTAAAATGCTAGAAGAGAAGAAAGTGGCAGAATCTATTCATGACCCTCAGACAAGACCTCAGGCAGTGGAGTTTATGTCTTGTCTCTAGAAATTTCTTTAAGTATCAAGCTGTCATTCCACCCTTCAACATGTCAGAGATGACAGAGATATAGTAACTTTTACTCTTGAGACAGAGTATTGACTAGATATTTACTAAGAGGAGTTTAAGGAAATATACTTAATTTTAACCCAGGGAGATAATGAACCAGCTCATCAATAAAAGTACAGGGCTTCTCACAAGAAGATATAGTGGTTTGGAAGATTGGAAACTTTATGAATCATAAATTAAACTCAAATCTTTATAGGAACAAGCATAATATAATGTATCAACTTTTTAGTATTTCTTCCCAAAAATGCACAGTCTGATTCTTATCACGAGGAAAGAGCAGTCAAATTTAAATTGAAGGACATGCTGCAAAACAGTCAGCTTGGATTTCTTCAAAAATGTCAATGCCATGAAAGACAAAAGAGGACTGTGAATTTGTTCCAGATTAAAGCAGACTAACATAACAAGAACCTGGAGGACATTATGCTAAGTGAAGTAAGCCAAGCATGGAAAGACAAACTGCATGATCTCAGATGTGGGATGTGAAACAGTTGCAGAATGGAATAGTGGTTACCAGAAGTTGGAGGCAGAGGGGCATAGTAGGATGGATAGACACTGGTCACAGGGTACTAAGTTTTAGCTAGTAAGGAGGACAAAGTCCTGGAAATCTGTTGTACAGCATGGTGAATATAGTTAATAGCAATGCATACTTAAAAGTTATTAAAAGAATATATGGTAAATGTTCTCACAATAGAAGAATGATAAGGATGCACAGTGATGGCTATATTAATTAGCTTAATTTAATCATTTCCCAATGTATGCATACATTAAAATGACACATTGTATACCATATATGTGTTGAAGTTTTATTTGTCAGTTGTACCCTAATAAAGCAGGAGGCAGGGTGGGAGCAGTCTGAAAAACACAAAAGCTAAATGAAATACTGGATTCTGGGCCAGAAAACAAGACTGGTATAAAAGACAATTTGCAGTGGCCTGTCCCAGCCCTGTCCAGAGGGATAAAGCCCATGGAAACCTCTCTGAGACAAGGCTTCTCTTCAGGCCTGGTCTGACCTCAACTGACCCTTGAAAGGGGTGAGGAGAAGGACAATTTGTGAAATTTAAATAAAGGCTATAGGTTAGAAAATAGTATGCATCAATGTTAAATTTCTCAATTCTAATAACTGTACTATGGTCCTCTAAGAATTTCTGTTATTTTAGGAGACATGCTGAAGTATTTAGAGTTAAGGGGCAGGGTGCCTGTACATAATTCTCAAGTGGTTTTGAAAAATAATAAGAATAATAGGTATATACACAAGCAAACATCCATTCACCCCCAGAATTGTAATGTGAATACAGCAAAATGTTAACAGTTGATGAATAAAGGTGAAGAACATGTAGGAATTTTCTGCATCATTGCAACTTCTGGGTAAGCCTAAGGTTGCTTTAAAATAAAATACTGTAAGGAATTAAAGGTCTGCCTTAGAGATCTTCCAAGAAAGCATTCAAGTTACTCAAACTTGGAGACTGGTGGTTCTTTGCTACCAATTGTGTTTTTCCACTTCAGCTCTTAAAAATCAACTCAAAAAGTAAGCAGATCTGCAATAAAACAATAAGCAGAATCTAAGACGCTTTGATTCATTTGACACGGTTTCTTTTATATGAGAACACAAAGTAAAAGATAACAGGAAGTTGAGAGATCAATCTGAGATGGCGGGGGAAGAAAGGGGAAGGGAAGGGGATGAAAAAAGAATGGAGACGTGTGATGAACACGGATCAACTTCCCTTGAAAAATATAATCATTATGTATTGCAAGGCATGTACTAATAAAAAATAAAAATTGAAAAAAATGAGTCAGATTGATCCTTATTTTTTAGTAGTGATTTTAAGGCTTATATTCTTTTTTTTTTTTTCTGGTACCAGGGATCAAACTTGGGACCTTGCGCTTGCGAGGCAGGTGGTGGAACCACTGAGTGAAATCCCCGGCCCCAAGGCTTATATTCTTAATATTACCAAGCCTTAAAAAGAATCATATAAAGGCATATAATGACTATTGCATAAGAGAGGTAAGAATGGGCATGTCAGTGTGATCAGGAAGGAGTAACAAGAAAGCACTATTCCCCATGTCTGGTCATAAATATTAATTAGGATGAACCCATTGCAGATACCCGTTTCCTTGGAAACCCATTCAACTGAAACTGCTTCAAAAATTAACATGTATTTTTTCTCCTCTTAAAGGGCAGTTGCTCCTTTTACTTATACAGTTTTGACCTTTAGCTTTATATCTTAAGCTTATTATAAGAAGTTCTTTCCAGAGCTAGTCAAACAAAGAGCCCCATAAGTATCTTTTCATTTGTTCTGAGGCTTGACTTAAAATAGTGTGGCCTTTATAGATGCACATTATAAGGCAACGTCTGCCACTCACCGAATATTGCCATCTAGACTAGTAAACCATCAACCCACATACAATATTCTAACTCAAATGCCAAGGGGCTTCATAATATAGATAACTGAGTTAAACAGTCATATTTTCAGTACAGTTCTGCATTTTAAGAGGCAGTAAAGTTTAATAAAGTCAAATTCCTTGTATAAACCAATACTAACAAATATCATATAGATAGAGTTTCACCAAAGATAATGATATGGTGTCAGGTCAATACCATGGAGAATTGTCCTGGGCCATGAAGGCTTTCTGGCTCTCATCTTACTTCAAAAACTCACCTGGCTCTGGACTTTTGGTACCATTGAATAGGTTCTTATCTATACAAATTTAATCCAGGAGGGTAAATTCATCCAGATTTGAAAGGCTAATCTGTAAGTACAGTTCGCCATTAGAGTCAGCCAAAAAATAGAATAATTTAGACAGAAATCATTCCTATGCCAAGGCAAGTCATAATTCAGGTGAAGTGGTTCTCAACATACTGATACTTCCCTGTTTTGTCTACAATGCCACTATCAGAGGCTACCTTTAGGCTCAAGATAGCCCAAGAATCCACAGGTTATTTAGCAGGTCTGCTGGATCAAGTCTCAGGGATGTTGTTCAGCACTTAGTAGACACAAAGGGAATGTTTAGAACAGACAAACATGGTTTTTTCTTTGGCTCTGATGTTTATCAACTATTTAGCCTTAAATCACTAATTCTCTCCCACAAAGATCTTTTGGGGCACTGAATATGGGGGTCTGAATAGCCTGCAGACTCCCAGATTCTTGGGGAAAGATGTTCCAAAGGGAAGTAAGGACACTGAAAGAGAGGTGATCTTAGGCAACAGATTGTTCAGTTTATCCTGAGTCTATTTTCACAGTGATCAGAGCTTGGATTCTGAGGACAGTGCTGATTTAATGTATTTTACCGTGTTTTCTCTGACAAGGGGAAATGCAGTTATCATATTGGAGAACTACTTCATAATACAATGGAGACTCATGTTCTCGGTTTGTTTACGGTCAATTAGCCTCTGACTATACTCTTTGTTGGAATTAGTGATTCCCATCAATTTCATTGTCTTTATTGGGCCCTGTCAAGGGAGAAAGTAGTCTTATCCAATCCATCCACTGGGAAAAGCTAGTGACTTGATCAGCTGTCCACCCAGCATGTCTCCCTTTTAAAAGACCACAGAGAAAGGGGAACAGGCATTCAGGACCACTTGGAGGAAATACCTTCGCGAAGGTAAAGACTTTGAATTCTAGCAGTCACCTACGATGTCTGTGTCAGTCTGAACCTCGCAACGATAATTTTCAACTTCAATAAGGTCAACAAATTAACCATGTCTTCTACTTGACTGGGTCTCTGAAAACTGTGTAGGAAGTATCGAGATTTGGCTGTTGCATCAGCAGTGATGATGCAACAATGGTTGGTAAGTGGCAGCACTAGCCTTATGGATGTAGGGGGAACCCTATTGCTCCCCTCCTGGCAGGTGTGACTGCCCAGATTTGGATCTGATAGGAGATCAGTGTTTCCTCTGTGGTTCTAGATTCCTTTCTCAGGATCATAGGAGGGTGTTAACTATAAAGAGTTCTACAATGGAGCCAGATCGCTTCAATTTGAGTCCTGTTTCAGCTACTTCATAGTTCTGGTGATTTCTTATTTAAATTTTAAAAACATATGAAAAATAATTTTGCTGTTGCCGTGGACATTTTTTAACTGTTTATCCCTCTATTCCAGTTATGGTATGATGTTTGTTTATCTTTATATAATTCTACAAAGTAATTCAAGGTCAGAAAGGGTAGCAAAATGGAGGAGGAGGGCACAAGGCTAAAAGACTTTATATTTTAAGAATAGTTATCATTTATTCAGTGTCCTCTAAATAAAGCACTGTGTTGGGTGCTTTATATACATTATCTTTTATTTTTACAATTCTGAAATCTTGCTATTACTATTCCATTTAAAACTAAAAGGTGTAGGGGTCAGAGAAATTAAACATTTTCCCTTAAGTTGTTGAATTAAAGAGCAAGAAATCAACTTAAGCCAGCTGCCTGTAAAGCATATGATCTTACCACTTAAAAAATTACACAAGTTATTTACTATTATAATCTCGGAAAATTTTTGACTGAAGTTCTGGAATTAACATTTGCATCACCCTCTTTCTACCTGTTCTTTAAAGGTATCTACTAAAACAAGTTTGATGTACATCGTGGAACCTTTTTCTATGCATACTGGTGCACATATAGACTTTTAAATCTGTAAGTGAAATCACACTATGATGCTTGCTTTTATTAAGTATGCTTAAAATCATTTTTTCAAAGTGAGTTTAAAATTTTTTTCTAGTGAATGCTTTAGATATGCCATAATTTATTTGAATATTCTCCATGGATAGACATTTAGATTGCTTGTAATTTATCAGTAACAAAAAAACAGGTGCAAAGAATGCTGTTGAACATAGATCTTCATGCCTTATATGTGAGTGTTTCTATAGGACAAGGTATTATTAGAGGGACAGCAGAATCATAACTTCATTTTATATATCACTTCTTGGCCTTTTGGCTAAGGTCAAGTGTCTAACTTCATTTTATAATATGATAGGCTGATAAGCTGACCTTGGAAAGCCTCTGATGGTCCATCCACTGCTCCATGTTGCATGTCAATGAAAACAAAGTCGGATGGAGCAGAACCTTGCATTTTTGCCTTCTTTTAACGTTGCCCTGTTTCCAGTTTTTTCTCTGCTCTCCATGCTAGCTGATAGCTCTTCTTTCTTTTTATGCCCTTCTATTTCTGTCTGCCCTGGTCTACTTGTAGGTAGAGTATCAAATCACAAAGGTACCTTACTATGCCAGAAGCTGGCAGAGAGCCCTCACTCTCCTGCTGTTCACTAAGGCTCCTAGAGTGCCCTTGAACTGTGAAGAATCCTTGCTGATCTCAGCTAGGACTGAAGACTCCGATGTATGGTAGGTGGGGACAGAGTGGAGAACAGAGATGGATGGAGCAGATGGTGGAAGGGCTCAAGCTTTTTAATCCTCTACCTTTGAAAATACTCATTCACCTGAAAATGTATTTTACTTAGGGACAAAGATAGCGATCACCCACTGAATATGTGACTGTCTAACTTGAAGGATTATAATGCACGCAGTGACGCACATTTATGTTTCCAATTTTCAAAGCACTTTGTTATTTTGGTAAATGAGAACTGTACATCATTTAAAATTGTCACCATTGATTTGATTCATGTTTTCTCTTTATGAAGAACATGGGTTAATAGTCTGCCTCTTTCTTAATGTAAGATATTTTAAAAAAAATTACTATAATTTGTCCAAGCTTTGGGACTGGTTTAATAAATTATACTCCAGCTATAAGCAAGAATAATCTATAGTTAATAAAAGTCAAGATTCAGAGCTGCCTGCCTTGCAAGCACAGGGTCCCAAGTTGGATCCCCATTCCAAAAAAAAAAAAAAAAAAATTCGGAAGAATATTTAATGACATGAGAAAATGCTCATGATATATTATTAAACTTTAAAAGCTGGTTAAAAATGCCATGCCTAGTATGACCCCAAATTTGTAAAAAATAGACATGTGAAGGAAAAAAAAGGACTGAAATATAATAAAAATTGTAACTTGTCCTTGGAGAATGGAATACAAATGATTTTAAAGTTTATTTAATTTAAAAAAGTGTAAAAATTTTCCCTTTTTCTGCAAAGAACACATAGGGCTTTTACAATGAGAAAGGATAACTTATTAATATTTGATTATTTTCTCTTACCTTCCTAAGTGTCTGAGACTCATTTTTAAATAAACATTAAACACAAAGCATATTTATATAGAGAAATTTGAGTGAGATCATGAAATTTGCTATTCTTCCTCTGATGGAACAGAGAGACAGGTCAGTCCCTGCCTTATTTCTCACACTAGAGGCTGGCATTGCAGGAAGGTCCCTGATTCACATCCAGGGCACACATCAAAATGTGGAGGCCTGATTATTTGGGTTCAGCGGGGCTGGGCTGGGCTGGGCTGGGCTGGGCTGGGCTGGGCTGGGCTGGTTAGGTCTGGTTAGGTCCAGTCAGGTACAGTCAGGTACAGTCAGGTCCCGCCCCAGAGGTCCATGCATTTGCCAAGGACTCGGTCCTTAAGGGACTGGTGAGAGCCTATGGTTCCTGGAAAGAAGTTCAGGGGGCCAGAGGCGGCAGAGGGGAGAGGCCTTGTGAAAACTTAGAGAAGGATCAAAGCCCAGTCAGTGTGGAACTCTCAGCAGGGCTCAACTCTTAGCGGGACATGTTACCAGGAGGAATGATTAAGCAGACCATCCAGTTGGCCATTAAGGTAAGCCAGGCCTAAAGAAAGGTCCAAGCGAGAACGGACAGTCTGAAGGGGCTCCCCAGGTGGTTAAGGAAGGGCAGAAGAATGCATACTCCCATAGTACCCACTAGGTGGCAGACCCTTTTCCAGCCAGAGAGTTGAAGAGTATTCTCAAACATTTCATGGCACTGAGATCTAAGAGTCACCAGGAGGCTGGTTAAAACACAGCTTCCTGGGCCCCTGTCCACTGCTTTTCTGATTTAATAGTCCGAGAAGGCGCCTCAGCTTCTCATTTCTAACGAGCTTCAGCGATGTTAGTACCACTGAACGGTGGATGTTAAGCAATGAACATATCATTTCAGAACCTGGGAAGGGACAAGGTGCAAGGTGTAGGTTGGTCCTTATGGCACAGTGACCAGTCCAACTTGTGACAAAAATCTCACGGAGGTATAGCATGGAGATAGAAAGAGTGCAGGTAAAAGGGCTGGCTTGGGGGAGGGAATGGGCCACTGGGTTCTGGCTGGAATAGCCTCTGATGCTAGAGCAGATTTGGATTAAGGGCTCTGAGGCAGAATGTAAGTGCTCTGGAGCTCTCATCCTAGTCCAGTGTGTCAGTGGGTATTACTCAGGATGTATGTAGCAGATAAGCAGCACAGGTATGCAGACTAAAATAAAAGAATTCAGAGCAAAATGAAAAATAAATCTTAGATACATACTAAAAATAAGCCTAAGGAAAAAAATTGAGCATAATATAAACATAAATGATTCCCTATTTGAAATGAAAGACCTTTTTAAAAATCCCATTTAATGCATGGTTCTCCTATGTAAGAGGTTTCTGTAGTTTTGGCCGTACACAGCTGACCAGGCAAGATTGAGAACACTCAACACCCAGCACCTTGCTCAGTGAAATGAATCCACTGATCATGCATTTGGATGCCAGTGGCAAGGCTAAAATGCTATTGGTTTCTAAAGCTTACTTTTGATTTTGCAGTTTCATCGGTAGAGAGCAGTAATAAACAATTTGCAGAAGGTACTAGTTCATGACAATACTTACAGGAGCATGGGTCTAGCCTTCTCATTATTGATCTTGGAGATTGCACAACTTGAAGCAGTCAGTTTATTGTTTTGGATCCTGCAGTGCAGACTTAAATTCTTGTATCCTTCAGGACCATTTGGTTCTTATCCATTATATTTGGGATAACTGGAATAGTCTATTGGGCTTAACTGCTATTTCTTCAAGCTTGGACATTCAGGACAATGTCCTGCATATGTTAAGTGCTCAATAAATACTGATGGATGAATTCATGGAACTAGTGCCCAGGTTGACATATCATGCATGCTTGGGGGATAGACAACCAACCTACTGGAAATAAATGCTCAGTATAAGTTGACATCAAATACAATTTCCTTTCGGTCACTATGTAAAGACCACAGATAAGTAGAACAGATGGAGAACCAAAACCAAAGAGAAAAGTGAGACTAATCACTTTGTTTTCCTGGCCTTACTCAACGTAGGTGTTCATTGAGAAGGAGTGAAATTCAGTTTATACAATTCTTGGGCTATGATTACATACCTTTCCTGGTGGCATTTTCATGCTGAATAAGGCCTTATACCTAGGTCAAGGTGAACCCCAGTGGTATCTCTGGAAACGACTAAAGAGTTTACCTTAGAAGTGTTTCTTTTAATACTAGACTAACAAGGATACACTTTAATAATCTCAGTGAAAGAGAGGTGAAAGAATATTCTAACCTCCTTTAAACTTCATGGCCCACTCCAAACTTATCTGTCATTCTCCCCTTGTTCTATCTCTTTACTAGTTCATAAAATTTATGTGATTTAATGATGCATAGATAATAATAACGGTCACAGGAATAATAATACTTGCTGTTTAGAGAGCACTTTATGTCAGTTACAATGTTAACTGCTCAAACACATTATCTTATTTAGTTATATCAAAATTATATAAATTTGTTCCAGGATGAAGTAAAAGGGCTAGGATTCTAGCCCTAATATGTCAATCTCAAAAATTTGTGGTCTTAGCCATTGTACTACTTAGGATCTTGGGTCCAGAGAATGTTTCCTCTTATGTTTAAGGCTCACCAACAAACTGAAAAGTGTAATGTTGAGAATGTTGGGAACTCAAGGCCAGGATTTCTCATAAAGTATAGAGAAATACAGACCAATTCTATGCAAAAATAAATGAATGAATGAAGATGGGTACTAATGGTGAATGAATCAAATTTAGTTCATGAGGTGCTGAAATCACGAGGTCACTAGAGTTTCCTGTTGGTACTTCGCTATAAACCAAGAACTGAGTTGGTTTTAAGAGAGCCTATAATATTTGATACATGGGCTCACTTCAGCAGCACATATACTAAAATTTGAAGATATAATCTGGTCACAAATGGTAAGACTACATTTCAGTTGTATTTCAATCAAATTCACAGATACACCTATCCCACACTCTCACTCCTTGGAAAACCTTATTTTACTCTTTTTCAAAATATCCCTTTCCATTCTTAAATCTCCTAAATAATAAATATGGAAGACAGTTCAAACACAACATGTATAGTTTTGACTGCACTCAAATCAGAGGTTGTAACACTAACCATTATCTTTGGATAACCCTGTTTTCAACTAAAACAATCTGTACACTCAATATTAGACGTAAAGTGGTTGTTACAAAGAGCTTTCAAAGTGCTTTCAGAAAAGCTAAAAGACCCTAGTGCTTTTGCAAGCATTATTAATATAACTGTGTGTTTATATTCAAGACAGGATAATTGGTAAAGTCCTAATGGCTTATATATAGAAGCAAAGAACTAAGTTTCATTATTATATATGATGGCAAAATACTCAAACACACAATTAAAATGTATAATAGGTAATGTGAAATAGGAAAAAAAAAGGGGCAAAGGGGAAGGAAGTGGGAGGGGTAGGGGAAAGGAAAGAAGGGAATGGATTAATATGAGAAAATGGAAAAATAGGAACAAAATCTTTGTAAATAGGGAGGAATGGAGGGGTTGAAGGGAGGGCTGGGCAAGGGTGAAAAATAAGAACCAAGAGAGATTATGTAAAGGTGCAAATTTCCAACGATGAATGTCATTATATTGTATACCTAAAAATGTACCAATGATTAGAATGAATAATTGATAATGCAAAATAGGAAAAGGTCCAAAGGGGTAGGGGTAGTGGGAGGGGCAGGGGAAAGGAAAGAAGGGAAAGGAAAAATAATGAGAAATGAAAAAAATGGAAATAAAGTCTTTGTAAATAGGGAAGGGTGGAGGGGGTGAAGGGAGGGCTAGGAATGGGGAAATAATAAGAACCAAGATGCATTATGTAAAGGTACAAGTTCCCAATGAGAAATGTAATTGGGTTGTATACCTAAAATGTACCAATAAAAGAATTAAAAAAAAACTTTATCATGAGTAAAAATCCTTAACAAAACCTCCAAGACAACCTTTTTTAAGGAAAAAACTCTAAATTAGGAAAGAATGAAAAGTTACATGAACTTGTATATTTAAACACTCAAATTGATTTCTTGAATACTTAAAGATGCAAATTGACTTAAGAAGCAAAGATTTTGGGAGCCCTAAGACAATAAAGTGATCAGCACAAAGACATCTGTCAGAGTAAGGGCAACCTGAGGTGAAGAATAGCTAAATCTCATGCGATCAGGAACTTAGGCCAGTTTAACTTTTTTTCTTAAGAGGTGACAACCTACTAACACCATAATCTCTCCATTCAGGATGATGACACAGGATTTAATGAGCAAAAGAAAACAACTTAAAACCTTTCTTTTGAGCATGAATGGTCTATTTGACATTGGAATTGCTTTAACTGGTGGCACAATTGGGAAAAGAAACATACATGTGCGTGTATGTGCACACACTTCAAAGCAATGAGTTATATATGCAACAATGTGTTTTTCTACTTAGATACAAAAATGGAATTAAAACCAAGACTAACAACCCTGTGCTAATTAAAGAAAAATGTTTTCTTCCCAAGTGTACCAACACGATATAAAACTGAAAGGGACTGTTTTCCTCTGGATCACACTCATTTATGTTTAAAAGAAGATTTGAGGACGAAGAAACCTGTGACAGAACAGTTGGAGAAAACTGATGGAATCATGCATTGGAAGAAATGCAGATGAGTATATACAAGGATATTATTTTCCCTTGTTAAAATATGTGATAATGGTCTAATAGAGACATGGTTACCTTTACATTTCTTCTCTTCTGTTTGGAAGGTCTGGGCACTTGAGACGCTCTGGTCATTTACATCATCGTGGTCCAGATGGAAGATGGAGTTTGTCCAAGTGGCCGGGATGAGGTGCGGTGATGACTGCTCATTTTTCAGTGTGCTGCGCCTGTCGGAGTGGCTCTTCCTGTGCAGGCAGGCTTCGGACATTCCTACTAGCTTCCAGTCTTGCTCTTCGTCTGGACAGTGCTTCGGTTTGTCCCAGGCTGGAAGGCCATTTTCTGGAGGGTAGGAAAATCATGAGATGCTGAGCCGTTGGCACTGTCAGGATTCTGCTGAGATGCAGCGTTTTGGAAGGCAAATTCTTTCTCAGTTCTTTTGGGCTGACAGTTTTCAGATGCACCCCCACTTGATGGCAGTGATAAGATGCAGAATTTGTCAGCCTTAGGCGTTTAGCCACTATAGTTGCATTGCCTGTTGGAGTAATCAACACATATTCCCCCCTTATTTTTAGTGCCTAGCAAGACATTAGTTCTTTTATGGCAAGACTGCAGTTTTGCTAGTCTCACTTCGACTGCAGTGGCCCCAGAGCAAGTTTACATCAGTTTATGTTACTACTTAGATGGCCATTTGAGGTCTTGAGAGCCCGGGCTGGCTGTGATCTCAGGTCAGATCCTTAGGACATAAAACATCCAGGATACAGCCTTGTTTGACTTGGGTTTTATCACTAATTGCCCTGAGTGACACCTTGTTACTTAAATGGGACGGGCTCATGTGGCCACATGGAGAATGACAGCTCTGCTTTTACATGGAAAGTGACAGCTATTCTTACTACCCCGATGGCAAAAACCCAGGGGGGAAAACCAACAACCGCAAACTAAAAGAACAAATAAAAAAACTGGATCTTACAAACAGAAGTTTTGTGAATGGTTTCAATGTGGTCCCAAGTTGGTAATGAGATCAGATGAAAGGAGGCAGGTGGTGCTTATGCTGTAGGGCAAATGAAGAGTCCTAATTATAAAATGATATGCCCAAATCTCTTTGGCTGGGTTACTACATAGCTAATTATTTATGTATATTATACCCTTTTTATATTGAGTTTATAGGAACTTGAGGGCCGGCTGTCTTGAATATGGGAAACAAATAAAATAATACTATATAATTAAGAATTTCATATATTATCCTTCCCTGATAGCAAATTTTACCTCTTTTATATCTTTACTGTAGGTGGATATAAAGTGTAAAAATAAGCAAGTGTACATATACATATGTAGTTTCCATA